GAGGGTGTGTGAGAGAGAAGTCTAGGATAGACCACGTCTGCCGGGTATGCGTTTCATTCATTCCTCTGCACGTGTGCCGGTTAGGCAGGTGCATTTGACGGATGCTTTCCCCTCAGGACCCGCTCGTCTAGCGGAGCATAGACATCGGCACACAGCGTAGTGTTTTAAGTCAGAATAGGCGCTTCAAACTCGGTGGAGGAGTTGCTGATGAGGATTAGATGATGGAGAGGTTGAGAAACGGGTTTTATCTATTCATTCCAGAAATGATTTCGGAGTGCATGTAATAGACTGGGCCGAGCTCTGGCAAAACAGCTTCTGCCTTCAAGGACCTTACTATTTAGGGTAAGGGCCGAGAAGACACAAGCATGGGCTTATAGAATAACGCCGGCAAGTGCAGTGATATCGCATAGAGGAATGTGAGTGCATGTAGAAAGGGACTCTAATACACTGGGGCGGGGGCGGTCCGGGGGAGGGGATGTTGACATTTTAGAGGGCTTCAGTGAGGGATGGCACTTAACATAAAGGATGAGTGGAGTTAGCTGGGCCAAGGAGAGAAATAAGTGAATTAGAATTCTTATTACTGCATCATCGGATATGTGGCAGAGAGTGTTAAGAAGAGACCAGGAGAGGTAGGTAAAGGTCAGAAAAATTAAAAGCCTCGAACATCCTGGAGCTTAAAAGGGGAATTAATTGAACAGTTTTAAGACAGCGGTATGAACGATGGATTTGAAAGGAGTAAGATTGAAGTCTAAGACCAGTCAGGAGTTTGCTCAAATAGTCTTCTTAATAGATTAAGAAGCCTTGCCTTTGTGCAAGAGGTTACAGTAAAGGATGAACTCGGAAAATATTTAGTTCAAAATATTTAGTGAGCGAGGACCAGTGAAGAATGATTCCTGGGGTGGATATAGAAGGGTCTCCATTTAAAAGAGAGAACACAGGTAGATACAAGATTTAAATTTCTGTTATGTTGAATTTGATTTGTTTACGTGATATCAGTGCAGCTGAACAGGAGGTGGTAAATAGATGAGTATACATAGTGCCTCATAGAACTGTATAGGCAATAAGTATTTGGGAACCTTCTGTGTATAAAAACTGAGAGGATGAAATTAATCAGAAAGCATCGAGTCAAAAGAGTAAAGAGCCAACCCTAGTTTCCTGGAGGAAATAGTATCTTAATTAAGTCTTAATTGAAAATGATGTTCTGTGAGTGAAGAGGGCTGAAAAGCCCACTTTGATGAGAAACCTAAGTGTAAACACATAGACATGTTGATTGGTAATTAGGAAAGAGAAGGCAATGGGGAAGATAGGTAAGTCAGAATAAGTTGTGAGGCCACAGAAATAAAGAGGGTAAAGTTAAAGTAGGGATTTTGATATTGATATTGTCAAGTTATTCTTTTTTGGTTAGAAAGGAATGAAAATGTGTCCATTGACTCTCGATTAGCAAGTAATTTGTTGGTGAAATTTGCTAGAGCTTTGGTAGAGTTTTAGTGGGAGAAGCCAGATTGCTTGGTTTAGTAGCCTGGGGAAAATGAGGAAGGGGAGCTAGGATAGACTACTCTTAACTAGAGTATAAGAAGGGAAAGTAAGAGATCACTTAACAGTTTGGGGAGAGCCTAGGGTCAAGGGTGGACTCCCTCTATGGAGAGACAGCTTGAGTAGAGGAATAGGTTGAGGGGAAGGACAGAATGGATATAAGAGCTCAGTGGGAGGTGTTCGCCTTTGCGTAGAAGGGGAGATTAGGCAAAAAGAGGGTTAGGATGGGTGTGGGGTAGCTGCTCAAGGGTTTGTTTTCTAGGTATGAATGACTCAAGGGTCTTTTACAAGGGATAGGGGACCAGCAGTGGATGGAGAATTTGAGAAAAATGTAAAATTGAAATAGTCATTTAGTTGACAAAATCAAGAGAAACAATTAAGTAGCGAGGAACACAGGTGCAGGAAACCTGAGTTAGAGATCATGTATTTGTAACTGTGCCAAGATTCTGTGATTTTATTCAGTACTGCTGAGCTCATTGGCTTTATTATGAAGGAATATTATGGCAGTATTAAGGTTTTGAGTTTCTTGAAGGAAATAGTATTTTAATTATTTTTTCTTTTCCCTCCCTCTCTCTCTCTCTCTCTTTTTTTTTTTTTTGCTAGAGGGTGTATGCACTTGCCAGAAAGAGAGAGAGAAAGGAGAAAGCATCTCCCCTATCCTCTATTTCTCCTTTCTTTTAGGATTTTAGGCATGCATACACATGTGCTCAGTATGTTTCTTAAGACTTTGAGTCTGGGCTTTCAGTAGCATGATTGGCCATGTGGGATCCAGCTGCCTTAACCACCAGGCCATGGGGTCCCCCAGAGATAATATTTTAATTAGGTCTTAATTGATAAAGGGGATGTTCTGCCAGTGAAAAGGACTAGAAAGCCCTCTAAAATAAAAGGTGGTTAGGCTGGGGTCTTTAGAATAACATCCCTAGTACATAATGATTTTAACAGTTTCTGCCCTCTTGAATTCTTAGTGTCTTACTCTGGTGCCAGTTTAATCTTTCAGAAGCTCAGTTCTGTTATTTTCTCTGTGTCCGAAGACTAAAACTCCTTAGTCTGCAAGAGACCTCCAGTTGGATTTTGCTACATTGGGATCCTCCCCTAAGTCTTCTGGCCAGCCAAGATTGTACACTGGCATGCGAGCATGTTTCCGTCATGAAATCTGAACCCCTGGTCTTCCCATGTGACAAGTCAACCTGAAATCTGAACCCCTGGTCTTCCCATGTGACTCCAGTATAGTGCAGTAGCCTGTGCCACTGTAGCTGAGCCTCTTCTAATACTAAGAACTTTTTTTTAATTGCCAGAGGGTGCATGTGCTCATCAGAGAGAGAGAGAGAGAGAGAAAGAGACAGACAAACACCTTTTGCACTTCCCTCCAATGGGGTATAGTTACTTTGCAACACCTTCTTCAGTTCTCCATCTGCTTGGGATTTTGAACATGTATGCATACCTGCCTGGAATGCTTTCAGAACTACTGGGATGAGAATTTGAACCACGGTCAGCCATGTGGAAACCAGCTCCTGTCACCACTAGGCTACTGGGTCAACACTTAAGCCCGTCACCACTAGGCTACTGGGTCAACACTTAAGAATTAAGAAAAAAATAAAAGATTTGTTTTATGGACAAAAAATAAAATATGGAAATGGCACCAGTTGCTCAAACCTCCCATTCTTTTTGAGCTTGGCATAGGAAACTTTGTGGTCTGGGTATACTTTTTATCAGTGGCCGTGGCTTATGGCAGCTTGGTGTTAATGGCTGTCTTCTGGTTGGAAGGAAAGGAATTATAAGCAGGGATGTCTCATTAGGTTACTTTCTTCATACCCAGAAGAGTGGGATTCTTCTACCTGTTTTGTAATATTTGAAAAGATGATTCAGTAGTGGTACAAATCATAAAACTTACATAATCACTTGTGTTTATCAATACAAAGTGATTGCCTCAAATGATATTTATGTTACCTGAACAGATGTCACTTTGAATGCAGATGCATTAAAGTATCTATTGGTTATTTCTCTTTCTAGTTCGGGAACTATCCAGAAAAAGAGGAGGATAACTTAATATACTTGTGCTTAATGAATCCACTGTGATGCTTCCTAGTAAATTATTTCTTTTACAAACACCTTCAATAATTTAATTACTTCATAGACTGATTGATTGCCATATTTATTAATCTGTCATTTCTGTAATCATTTTTTTTTCCTTTTCAAAACCAAGGCATTTTCTAATCAAGTCAAGAACTCTCCTTCTGTCTAAAATTTCCCAGAAATTACCTAACTATGGTTGGTTATTATGGTAAAAGTTTTTCAGAATTTGAAGTTGTAATTGGCACTTAAACTTAAATACCTCAGGTAGATTATCAGCCTGCTCTTTTTTAGCTCTTAATTGTATTACCTGTTTCTCTTAGTAGACTTTGAGTTCCCTGTATTAAAATGTATTCTTTCTGTAATATTTTTAATGTAGGAAATAAAATCGTTGCTTTCACTTTTTGGAGGTCAGTTCACCAGCAGTCAGGATACTTATGGCAAGGTAAGTATACGATGTAGTGTATTTATAATTAGAACTTTGGGTCTGAGGAGGACTGCCATTTTAAGTTTATATTTGTGTACTTAATTGTATCTGTCTCTTTTCTTTCTTTCTTTCTTTTTCTAAATATTTTTTTGCCATAGAGTACGTATGCTTAGTGGAGAGAGAGAGACGCAAGACAAAGCAGGAAAGTGAGAAATCATCCTCCAGAGGAGATGGCCGTGCCATAATCCCTTCTCCTCCATTCTTTTCTTGGGATTTTGGCCTCACAAGCACACACCCCCCCAATATGATTTTTCAAGCTGCAGGATCTAGGATTTTAACTGCTGCCATGTGGAAGTACGGCACCTTAACCACCACACCAAATGCTGGCCCCTTAGATCTGTTTCTATAGGCAATGAAATAAAAATAATATTTTGGGAAAAATTGTGACTTTGGACAGTAATTTAGATTTGCTTCCAGTATTCATTTATTTTATTAGTTTTAAATTTTTTTTAAAAAAATTTTTTTCTTCCATGAACGAGTGGGACAGACAGATGGAGACAGACAGAGAGACAGCATCCCCAACAGTGTCTTGATACTGCCATTTACTCCCAGCTTTTGCCAGCCCTGGGTCATGGGGCACGCACGTGTCCAGTGTACTTGGGGAGGTCTCTGAATGTGAACCACAAACTTTCCCATGTGGATGAGCTTCCCAGAGCATCACATTTGACCACTGCATCACTGGCCCCAATTTTTAATTTTTATTAATTCAGCAGTTGTACCAGAATTTGTCCTGTCATTGAAAAAAGGGCCCTTTAATGAATGCTACACACACACATATATATAAATATAAAATTAGATTCTAGCTTGATTTTAGGCTTATATTGGGAATCATTTTAAAGTGAAATTCTGCACTGTATAAAATTGCGAATTTATGACCTTTGTATTTTGTATGTGTAGTTTATTAATGTATTAGAAAAGTCTGGAAAATAGAAAAAGAAACATTCATGATTCTTCCTCCTTGACATGACTTATGATTTGGGGATATTGCCTTCCAGTCTTTTTTCTCACGTACTCGTTTTCCCTCCTCAGTGATACTTCTTTTCATGTAGTTCTGCCGTCTGTCCTTTTCACTTGATAGTATTAATATAGGCACATGGTGATACTTAGCCTTCATCACTAACACAGCTTCATGATATTTTTCCATTGAGCAGCCCTACCATAATTTATCTAATTTCATTTCCTTTAGGTTGTTTTTTCATTTCCTTTAGGTTACATATTTTTTAATAGAAATAATAGCAAGGTGACAATCTTTCTTGTTTGGATTATTTGGAGTTTTTCTGTAGGGCAGTATAAATATTAGAAGAACTGGGTATGACAGGGAGGACTTCTTGCAAACGATGAGAACATTTAAGTTGAAAGTCTCCTGGTGTTAGACTTCTATTTTGGAGTGATTTTCATTATTGAAAAGAGAACAGAAGGAAGGAGAGAGTGTAGATATAATTGGGCGGGGTGATGAGCTGAAGCCAGGCTCCTGCTAAGTTTTTGTGTTCTTGCAAGAGGTTATCTGGGTGGAGATTACCAGTGCCAGTGACAGGATGCATAAGCCCTACCAGCATCTATAATCCTGGATGTTAAGACAGGGCATTAAAGGGCCAGCAGGTGGCCTGGTGGTTAAGGTGCTGGATTCCCACATGGCCGACCATATTTGAGTCCCAACCTGGCAGCCTGAAAATCACATGCATGCGGGAACCAGCAGTTAGCATAATGGCTATGTTGCTGGACTCCCACGTCGTCAATTGCGGTTCACGTCTTGAACCCGGTGGCTTAAAACTCACGCCGGGCGCGTGTGCGTGCGTGCCCAAGATCCCGAGAGGAGAATGGAGGAGAAGCAATTGTGGCGTGACCATCCTCCCTGGGGGGTGATTTCTTGCTTTCTGTCTCTAATGTCTCTCTCTGTCTGGCGAGTGCACACGCCCTATAGCGAAAATCTCTCTCAAAAAAAAAAAAAATCACATGCATGTATGTATGCCCCAAACCCATAGAGCAGAATTGAGGAGAGTTTTCGCCCCTCTAGGGGGTGATTTCTCTCTCTCTCTCTCTCTTTCTCTCTCTGTCTCTCTCCAGTGAGTGTATGTGGTGACATATGGCAAAACCCTTAAAAAAAAAAAAAAAAAAAGAAAGAAAGAAAATGAAAAAGAGGATTGAGAGAAAACCCCCAATGCACTTGGAGCTTTCTTTCCATAGGGGGAAAAATAAAATTAATGAAAGTTAATGATAACTGGTATCATTAACTTATTTTCCATTATTATTTCAGAAGGCCTCTTCTTTGTCCCTGAGGTATCCACAATTACCTTGAAAAAGAAGGCTCATTTAATAACTAGGGTAATATTACCTAGCAGTTAAAAATAAAATAATTATGAGGAATGATTAGCAATGATAAAAATTCCAAGACTTTACTTTGGGATAATTGTATGCACTCATTCTTTTCATGAAAATACATAAATGGACAAATACAAAATTGAGTTAAACTTTAAATACATTTAAATTTAATTTGCTGATCCTTTTGTTTGTAGAGTCATTTATAAATTATATTATTCTAACTGTATTATCCTAACAGGTTACCTATTAAAATAATTCACTTTTTTACGATTAAGGTAATTTTAATTTTGTTTAGAGTTAGATCAGATAGTCTTACATAAAAGCAGCAAATAGGAATTTCTCTTCATTAATTTCTTTCAAAAAAGCATGTAAGGCCATGTAGCCATTTAGAAATAAGTTGCGTTTTGTTATTTCTTCCAGTCTCCATTTTGGATTCTAAGCATTCCTTCTGAAGATATTGCAAGAAACTTAATGAAACGGACAGTATGTGCCAAGTAAGAGAAACTTACCATGTCTTGTGCGTGAGTGAGTGTACGTGTGCTTCTGTAATTATTCAGGCCTGGTTTTGCTAGGTGGAAAGCGGAAGTGGTTGGTTGTGGAGGGAGCTCAGTTTAGCTTGCAGTAACTTGCATTTGCCACTGGATGGTGGTGGTAGAACAGAGGAAAGTTAATCTGCTGACCAAGGGAGCAAAAGAGTCTCACTTGAAAAAGAAATGTAGAAGCACTTGCTATTGGGTAATTTTTTCAAACTTCTGTGTTAAGCAGCAGTATAGTATAAGGTGTAAAATACTATGTTCTCTTGATAGATACCACATTTAATTATCACTAAAGTTTGAAAATCCCAAAACAATTTTTTATAAATGGTTGTTAATTGATGAGCAGATTAGTAAGTGTAAGATGAAGATGTTTTACTATTAGCGATTATCAGATCTTGGTATGAATTAATATAATGACACTATTCGTTGTTTGTCTTGAGTATCTACATTTTATTGTAGCTATTTTTATTGTATTTTTTTCCTTTTCTTTATTTCTTGTCACACCCCCACTATTAGAAAATGTTCTGTCATAGGCTTTAAAAAATTAAACTGTATTTTCAACTAGCATCTTAAAGACTGATCTTGCTTGTGTTATCCTTGGGCTGCTTTTAATTCCTAAACATTTAGGCAAGTTGCTGAAAACTTTCTTTTCCTTCGAAATTATAATAATGCAATGCAAGTAAGAATGCACATATATGTCATTTTATTAACATGGCTAGCAGTGCTTTATAGTGCCATATGTAATTGTTGTATTACTGAACTGGCTACAACCCCATATTTAGTTAATTTCATCCTATTGAGAACTACCTGCAGCTGTAAATCTCATTTCTTAAACTGAAGCTTGTTAATGTTAGGTCTTTTTTATTAAATAGATATTGCTAGAAGATGGAAACATAACTAAAAAAACTGCTTTGAATAATTATTATTGTAGATTAGTATATTAAAATTTATAGCTCTAAGGAGAGTTTGAATTCCAGAGATATGGCTTATTAGGTTTAAAATAGCTAATTGAATACTAAGAAATTTTACACTTTCTTCAAAAATCATATTCTCTGAGGCATTTTTTTTATTAATGGTAAAATTAATAATTGAATAATCTTAGATAATTTATTTGGTCACTTTTTATTCTATTTTTGTCATAGTTGAGGTATACCTTAATAGCTAAGGAAGAGTAGTTTTACTGTAGATGTTTTCTCTCTACAAATTCAATAGACAGAAAAGGAGGAATGTGTTCAAATTCAAAGAGCAAAATTCATAGTGTAATTGTAACAATAATTATACCAGAATGAAAATAGACTTTTATAAGCATAAGTTCAAAACTAACTTTAATTCAAAATTTTTGTGACAGGATACGGTTTTAATGTTAATTTTATTTTCTCTTAATATATCACAAAAAGAGGTTAAAAAAAAATACCTGGGTACCACTTTGTTAGAGCTCACCTTTTATTTTTTTTTTTATAGAGAGAGATTTTTGCTTTAAGGCACATGTGCTCATCAGAGAGACAGAGAGAGACAGCAAGAAATCATCCCCAGGGGGGCATGACCATGCCACAATCCTTTCTCCTCTTAAGATTTTGGGCACATATGCACACTCACCCTATGTGATTTTCCAGCTGCCGGGTCCAGGACTTGAACCATAGTCGACTATGTGGGAATCCAGCGATGGGACCATTACTCAATCCGCTGGTCCCAAGAACTCAACGTTATAAGCGACTTAATTGCTTAATGTTATTAAATAATAGCTAAACATTAATAGTATAATTTTTATCTGGATTTTCTTTTCCTTTTGTTTAATGAAGCCATTGGGAAAAATTAGGTTTTCTATAGCTTTCTACCTTTTTCACTAAAATAACTTAAGTGACTTTATTGCATTATTTGTTCTATAACAGTATAAAAATTTAATGATGAAAACTTGGAAAAATCCTGACTTATTTTGAATTTTCCTCTTTCTATGTAAAGTTAAACTTCTATGTGTGGTTTGGACTTAGTTATTTGTTTTTAGGATATGTATTTTTCATTCATAGCTAAGAAGACATAGGCACTGTTTTAGCAGAGCAGGTGTAAAGATCTAGTAAGATAACGGTTAGATATTACTGTGTGAACTAAGACTGTTACTGAGGTTAGTATCCACCATTTATTTCCCAGGTCTATATTTGAACTGTGGGGTCATGGAAAGTCTCCCGAGGAGCTGTACAGTTCTCTTAAAAATTACCCCGTGGAGAAGATGGTGAGTAGTGAAATGTGTTTTTATACAGACATATGTGTAGATTTTCTAGAATTACAAAGCCTAAAAAACTTACCTGCTTTTGTTTCAGGTTCCATTTCTACATTCAGAATCTACTTATAAAATAAAGATTCACACATTCAATAAAACACTGACACAAGAAGAAAAAGTCAAACGAATAGATGTAAGTGAATTTAACAAAAACAAAAAATCCTATAGGATTATTGTACTCTAGGTATTGTTTATTTATAAGAATACCTTTTTATTTAAAGAGAGATTTTTACTATAGGGTGTGTCTGCTCACTAGTGAGACGGGTGGTAAACAGAGAGACAGAAAGCGAGAAATTACCCCTGGGGTATGGCCATGCTGCAGTCCCTTCTCCTCCATTCTTCTCTCGGGATTTTGGGCACATGTGCACACATAGCCAGCGTGAATTTTAAGCCTCTGGGCCTGGGACTCAAACTATGGTCAACCACATGGGAATCTAGTGTTATAAACTTTATGCCATCTGCTGGTCCTAATATGTAAGAGTACCCAGTATCTCTTAAGTGTTTATTTTTACCACACTTTGTGCTAAGCACTTTTTATGTTTATCTTATTTAATGCTGACAACAGACTTACAGTGTAGGTCTTATCAAAAAGCACTATTTTTGCCAATAATACATTAAAATTACTTTTATTTTTCAGGCACTTGAATTTCTGCCATTTGAAGGAAAAGTGAATTTAAAGAAGCCACAACATATATTCTCTATTTTGGAAGATTATGGTTTGGACCCAAATTGTATCCCTGAGAATCCACATAATATTTATTTTGGTAGATGGGTACGCATTTGTTCTTTTACCTGCTTCAGTTTATTTCTTTAAAAGCTTAAAGTTTAGCTTTCATATTTGACTCTTTATAGGTAGAACTTCAAGGCAACTGACAGAGTCAGAACTACTAAATGGATTAAAATTGGTGAAGAGTATGTGATTGTGTTGTTTCCAGAGATTCCTATGAAGTGCAAGCAGCTTATTAAATGTAGGGCCCAGAGAGGAGGTGATATAATATAAAACTTGTCAGAAAATCTGGACTATTTTTTTTTTGAATGAAGCAGAGAAATGGCAAGAGTGATGTCATGGTTGAGGTATCTCATTTGTGGGAATCTCCAGTCTAGGTCTTTCACTCTGAAAATAAGTAGAATTAGTGTAGAGCAGTTCTGCGTATGCCCCTGAGGCTGTAAGTGGGTGACCACAAGCTGTGACTTATGTTACAGATTATTGTTATTTCGGAGGAAAAAAGAGATGAGAAAAGCTTACCTATCACCAGTCCCTGAAAAAATTGCATTCAGATCCAATTCATATTTGGTTTGAGAAGACAAAATAAATGGAAAGACATTAAGAACTCAAAGATACTGCCTGTCGCCACCTCAATCACATAGTCTTACATAAAAGCAGCAAATAGGAATTTCTCTTCATTAATTTCTTTCAAAAAAGCATGTAAGGCCATGTAGCCATTTAGAAATAAGTTGCGTTTTGTTATTTCTTCCAGTCTCCATTTTGGATTCTAAGCATTCCTTCTAAATGTGTTCTAAACACATTTAGAGTAGTAGTAAGGAGTACATTCTCATCAACATGATACCATGGTTTTATTGTGAATGCTTTATTTTCAGCCTGTTCTGTATGAGTATACTGACTTGAAAACTATCTCTGACCTAGATTGCAGATGGACAGAGAGAGCTTATTGAGTCATACAGTGTCAAAAGGAGACATTTTATTGGAAATACAAGCATGGATGCTGGTTTATCGTTCATCATGGCCAACCATGGAAAAGTGAAAGAAAATGATATTGTGTTTGATCCATTTGTTGGAACAGGTATCTGATTTAACTGTTAAGGCAGTACAGAGATGTTGCTTGTTTGTATTAGGGAAGGTGATAGTAATATTGTTCCTAAAAGATTAAATGGAGAGAATAATCTAATAATTATCATGAGATGATAGCTAGAAATAGCAATATAATTGTGTAAGAGCCAGTATTTAATACTTGTGCCGCTTCAAACATGATGCTTATGCTGATGCTGATAGAATTTTGTAGGTTTTACTCCAAGTAAACTACTAGGAGGGAGCAGTTTACCTATTTTTAATTTTGTTTTAAAAGCATAAACTTTTAATGCCATACAGTGTAGAATGCAAAGCTATATGATTTACTTAAATAGGGAAACTCTTGGGGGGAGTGAGACAAACTTAAATAAAAGGACTAAAAGTGGTTCATAGTTTAAAATCGTTAATGTATCTTTGACTTGGTTTGTGGAAGATTAGAAGTAAGTGTGGAAATAAGAGAAGTGACTGAGAATCAGTGGGCTAGATCGTGGCTGCTATGGCTCTAACCTGGGTTCTGTATGCACTTCATAGAGATGCCTTATTCATTAACTTTGTGTGCAAGTCCTGAATCTCCAGTTTACTTTCTTGGAGTTTGTGAAGACTTTATCCATCTTCACCTGTTTTTTTCTTGATCTTGCCCATACCCAGGGAGTAGTCATATTTAGGTTTGCCTGGCTAAAGCCATTGTGGTTAGATTCCCTTGGAACAAATTACGCTTGTCTTTGGAGTCTCTATCCTTTACCAATCGTTTCCCATCAGACACTTTGTAAACAGCGTTGTTACAGTTGCTAACATTTGTTGAATACAGAAATGTTTCAAGTCCTATGCTATGTTCTCTCATGTTACTATCTAATTTAACTTAATTCTCACAACACCTAGCGTAGAGATAATTTTTTAATATCTTCTTAAAGACATGATGACACAGAGGGTACATGGCTTCACTAAGATTATATGGCGTTTAAGTTTCAAAGGGTTCAAACTCAAGCACTCCAACTCCAGTGCTCATGCTTCTTTAAAAAAAAAAAAAAGTTTACTTCTTCCTTTAGAGAGAGTGTCACCCCTGACAGGGTCTCTACTCCAAGAAACACTCTCACCTTAGCCACAATCTGGCATCTTCAGGTAGTTTCCCAGGACACAAACTCAGGACTTTTCCACATGGGTCCTACTTGTGGCACAGCTTTGACACCACTTGGCCCCAGAGCTTACGGTCTTAACTACTTCATGGAGATGTCTCTCTGCATCAGGATCTGTCAGCTATTAGATCATAAACTAACCCAAGGAATGTGATTACACATGATTAGGGAGAAATAGTGTCAAGGTTCAGAGATTTCTAACAAACACTTCCTGTGTTTGTTTTCAGTATTGCACCTCACTTTTCTCTACCAGTGTCTCCATATATCCTACCTCCAACATACTACTAATTTCTTCCTATCCTTATCATCCTAATACCTCTCCCAACCTCCTCAACTTCTTATTGGAAATTATACCCAACTCACAGAAAAGTTTCAAGAATAAAAATATAACAGAGACTATCCATATATCCTTAACTCAGCTTAGATTATTAACATTTGACCTCAAATGCTGTATCCTTTGTTCTGTTTATGTTTATATACCTAATATTTTTTCCTGCACCATTTGAAAGTTGCATCCATCACATCCTTTTACCTCCTCAAATTCTGCAATGTTTATTTCTTAGGAATAAGGATATATTCACTTATAAAATCACAGTACAGTTTTCAATGTTAGTAAATGTAGTACTAATACACCTTTAACATGATATTTCTTTTTTTTTGGAGAGGTTTTTCGCTATAGGGCGCGTGCGCTTGCCAAACAGACAGAGAGAGATAGAGAGACAGAAAGCGAGAAATCACTCCCCAGGGGGGATGGC